AGGGTTAGTAGAAGTTGAAGGGTTGGTATTAGTATGGTGAGTGAGGTCAGTATTAGTATCAGGTTCAGAAGTATTGTTGTAGGAAATAGGTAAACTGAATGAGAGTGAACTAGGAGTAAATTCAGATACGGTAGAGGTAACAGAAGAAATAAGGTGATTAAGAATATTGGGTTTGTTAGATAAGATCGGCTGGGGAGGAAGTGAGAGTGATTGTTGGTGTTAGGAGGAAGCAGAAGGTTGGGTGGGAGATTGATTAGGAGGTGGTGAAAGTTGGAGAGAAGTAGCAGAGGGATGGGGGTTAGGAGCTGAGTTTGTAGAAGTAGAAGGTTGAAGAGAGGGAGTGGGGCTTGTATAGGTTTGTGTTTGAGGGTTGGAGGGGGTTGGAGTATTGAAAAAGGTAAGTGGTTTAGCGTAAGTAGTTTGGATAGGTTGAGTTGGTGTACTTGAAGTAGTATGAGTAGCAATAGGATAGCATGCCTTGTGGATAACATTGCCTTCAAAAAAGATAGCAATAGTATCTAGGGTATAAAGTTGTTTGACAGGAGAAAAGGTGCACATAATAGGTTGTTGGCATTTAAGGCAGGCATGTTGGCATTGAGTAGGATTGAGAAAAATAGGTTGTTGAGTTTGAGGTAAGAGTTGTTTAGTAGGAGGACTAATAGAATCAAATGAAGAGGTAGATTGTTGAATAATAGAGGTGAATTGGGTATGAAATTTTTTGCACAAGCAGGTTATAGTAGCTATGGATGAGGGAGCTTTAAAGAAGTAAGTAGCTTTTCCAGTAGAGCGTAGTTGGGTTGTACAGGTTTTGGGAATGAAATTTTTATTGGTTGGTTTGGAGTTGTTAGGATTATCTTCATAGATCCAAATTTCATAATAGTTTGGGTACTGGGAGAGGAAGGTATCAAGGTTAACAGTATCTGGTTTCTTGCTACTAAGAGTAGGCATTACTTTTGGTTAAAAAAAAAAAAAAATTTTTTTTTTTTTTTTAAGTAAAAAAAATTAGGTTTTTTGTAAAATTTTTCTAAGTTGAAAAAAGGGTAAGATAATAGAACAGGGGTTATTTAAGATAGGTTATTCAGGGGTAAGTAGAAATAAGGCCTTTATTTTAGATTACGCAAGGTCACGTGATCTAAGGATAGAATTTTGTAGCTTTGTATTACACAAGTCACGTAACAGGTCACGTGTTACACAGCCCAAAAGGGGAATCTTATTGTGTGAATAAAAGATTACAAGAAAGACAAGTATTAAAAATTGTGCAATTTTAATTAAAAATTTGTAATTCTGGTATAATTTAACAAGCACCACTAGTTTTATAGTGTGGTAGAATGTGAGTAGCATGGCTGGGGTGGCCTTAGTTACACGTAAACACCTCTAATTGTTTGGGGGAGAGAAAGTTCCCCAAGTAAAAAAGAAAAAAGAGAGCAGATAGAGTTAGAGATCGTTTAGCTTATAACTTGATCAGTATTAACGTTACAGAGGTCTGTTATAGCTTGTTTTGAAGAGAAAAATTCGTAGAACAACTTTTAATATACTTTAAAAAGGGTTTAAAATCTGGATTTTGCTTAAACGGCAAAAGAGACTTTGTAGGCCTGGAAGGCCATTACTTAAAGAGTTTAAGGACTATCTCTTTAAGGTTTAGATATTATATGTAATTTTGTATATAGAAAAAGTTTTATTAAGACAAAAAATTAGGCAATTTTAATAAATTATTGCAAAAAGTGGAATTTTGTTGAATTATTTTTTGAAAAATTTTTTATACGAGTGATTGTTGGGAAGAGTTTTTTTTTTTTGTTCTCCATGATAAAATATATTTAACTTTATTTAAAATATATATTTATTTAACAAATAAAAGCAAATTTATTGATTTATAAAATAAAAGAAAAAAAAAGTAATATTATTCAAATATAATAAAAAAATAAAAAAAATTAAAAGGTTTATAGTTATTCCTGATATTCTTTAGAAGTATCTTCTTTGAAGATATCTTCTTCAGAGATATATTCTTCCTTTTCTGAATTATCTTGATCTTCATTGGAAGTCTCTTCATTATCCTCTGGTTCTTGCTCATCAGAACTTACCTTAGTTACTTCTAGAACGTCTTGATTTCTTTCAGAAGTTTTGCCGCTTTCTTCAAGTTCTTTTAAATTTTTGCCACTTTCTTTAGATTCTTTTAAAATTTTTTGAATATATTCAAATATTCTAAATACATAGATTATCTTAATTAATATTATATAAATATTTAAAATTACTTACCTTCTCTTAGTTTTTTTTTGCTAAAATTTATTTAATATTAGATTTTTCAAAATAATTAAAAATTTTTAATATATACATACTTTTGTAGTATACTTCAAAGGCCTTTTAAGCTTGCTACACTTATTCTAAATATTTTAAATAGAGTTAATAAATAATAATAATAATAATTAATATATTTAAATTTTTAATTGATCCAAATCTTTTGAACTAGATTCTTCAGATTCTTTACTATTGCCTGAGCTAGAAAAATCATTGTCAGAATTAGGTGGAGTAAATGCTTCATTTTTTTCTAAATGCTGCTATAATTTGAATATATTCATATTATTTTGTTAAGATTTTAAATTTTTAGAAATAATGATAATAAAGACTTACTTATCAAAACTATCAGCAGAGCAAAAACTATAGCAATGTGGTTTTCCCAGAAACGCAATATAGAGTGGGAAAACTATGCATCTGAAATCGAATAGAACTCCACTTGGCACTATATTAACAACAATCAAAAAGTTACTACAAATATTACATCACCCAAACTAAATCAAATGAAGGCCTTCAGGATAAAGAATCTGCTTAATGACTTGCCAACATACTACCACCTTCATACTACCTTCCCAAAGATTTACTACGCCCCAACCTGCTTCTCATGTAACAATACAGATTCAACTACACATTGGCTTACCTGCTATGACCCACAGACCCTCAACAAGATTGTACACTCTTCTATTAATACAATTATTACTAAATATCTTGCTAATTCACCACTAGCACTTATTAGAGCATCTACAGATATTATCAAATTCTACCCCTCCTTCAACTACCCCTAGCACTCCCCCTCACATACACACTCACTACTTGGGATCCTAAAAGGACTTATCTCCTCACACCTAGTACAAACACTAGCAACATTGGAGATACAACCTAGAGAGGCAACAGACATTATCATTCAAATACTACTGCAAATATCCTCAGAGATATACGAACAAATATAGAAACCATACTGTGAAAAATTTGCAAAATGGAAAAAGCAATATAAAATTCCAACACATAACCAACCTTCTACCTCAACACAAACTCACCAAACCCACCATTCAAACTATCGTTTACAAAGAAAATACACTTATAGTTGCACTTGTAGACTACCTAACCAATTACATATAGATAACAACAGCTGCTCTCCCAAAGAACAGGCCCAACTAAAATTTAACCAATGATCAAAAGGATGGATTCAATCCAGCATATCTACAAACTACATATTAACTATTAAAATCTAGGTGAGTCTTGACCACTCTAGTAGGTTTAGGTCGCAGATAATAAGCTTGAGTATTTAGGTTTTCCTAGTCCAATCTTTTAGTCTGAGCTCTTATTCTTGCATGTAATTTATAACTATTTGTCTTGTACAAACGGGGTTTTTATTATAATTACTCTAATAAATTACCAAATAAAGATATGAGCAAGGCCTCACCTTAATAACAACAAAAAAAAAAAACAATTATACATTTTTATATCCCAAGTATGTAATTATAAAGAGGTTTAACTATATATATTTAAAATTAATATTTAAAGAGTTTATCAAGAATTTGTAAATAATTTTTTTGATTAAAAATTTTTCTAAACTTGTCTATTTTTAGCTTATAAGTAATCTAAACTTTTTTTCTTATATTATAAAAAATAATTTTGCAAAAAAGTAATCATTATTTTTAAATATAATTGTGCAAAGTTTATTTAAATATTTTGCATTTTAAAAAAGTAAATCAAAGCTAAAAAAGTATAAAAATGCAGGCAAATTTGTCTGTGTTAGTCTATATATTAAGGATAACTAGCTATATATATTTTTAGTATTTAATTTAAATAGTTTATCTAAAGGTTTTATATTTACTACCTGTACTTATAATCACTACTATATACTCTATCTAACCAAGACACAATTTTACTATTTATAGATATTAATTTATATAGTATTTATAAATTTTACAACCAACTTAGAATTAATTATTTATCTTTAAGATAGACTTAATAATGTTTTATATATTTTACATATTTACTACTTATATATTTAGTAACTTCTTTCTAATTAGTATATATTGTACTGCTGTCATTATTTTATATTTTAAGTTATCCTTTATAATATTGCTATAATATAGTCAATATGTCAAGCTACAATTTTTCTTATTAGTCTTCTATTACTTACTTTTACTCTTATTAAATTTATAACTCTAGTATTTATATTCTATTACTTTTATATTTTGAAGTTTTGGTTTTTTTAATTTTCTAGCCTAGTAGAACTAGTTAGTCTAAACTTAGATTTTCTAGGTCTAAATTTAATAGTCTTCCAATTCTTGGTATATGTTTTTATAGCATATTTTTTTTCTTCAAAATCTTATTTTAGAATCATTTACTAGTTATCTAGTTAATAAATTAACTAATATATAACTAGAATAGCTCTAATAATCCTAGTAGCCAAATTAGTAGATTCTTTTATTTAAAGATTTTTTGTTATCCAAGTTCTTTAATTTTTGGTTTTATCAAATTTGTTTTATAATACTATCAAAAGTCACTATTTTTTAACTTAGAATTTGCCAAGCTACTTTTGAATCTTCAAGTTCTTTTATTTTTTTTTAATCTCAAATTTGTACAAAGTAACTATAAGATAACTTTTAAA